GCCTCAGCTGAACTTGTAGACACAGTATCTTGCTTCTTCGATCTCCATGAAACCAATGAATCACCCACAAACATAGCATATCCAGTGACAGACCTTCGAGAATCAGTACAGCCTCCCCAATCCGAATCAGAGTAACCACGGATGTCAAAGTTCTGATCAGTGCCATAGAAAATGCCTTGACCGATAGTACCTTTGAGATAACGAAGAATCTTGTTAAGGGCTAGGAGATGAACATCAGTAGGAGCCGAAGAATACTGAGCTAACTTTGAAACAGCAAAAGAGATATCAGGACGCGTGATCGTCAAGTACTGTAATTTTCCAAGAAGTTTTCTATATGGCTTGCCATCAGAGAGTAAGACCCCATCTTCTTGAGAGATTTTCTGGTTTGGTTCCATAGGAACAGAGGACGGTTTGCAACCCGAGTATCCTGAAAACTCCAACAAGTCCAAAACATACTTCCGTTGGTTCAGAGATATACCTTCACTTGACCGTGCAATCTCTATACCAAGAAAGAACTTTGGTGGTCCAAGATCTCGAAGCTTGAAAGCTAAACTCAATTGATGCTTTACTCCATTCACTTCCTCATCATCTAGGCTTGCTATTAAAATGTCGTCAACATAAACCAGCATCACGAGGAACTTTTCACCCATTCCTCTAACAAACATCGTGTGATCTCCATGCGCTTTCACAAATCCCAAATCCTTCAATGTAGTGGAAAATTTAAGAAACCACTGTCTTGAAGCCTGCTTCTATCCGTAAATGGATTTGTGAAGTCTACAAACTGCAGTTGGAGACACTGATTCTCCTGTCAATTCAGCATAACCAGGAGGTAACTTCATATAGATTTCCTCGTCCAAATCTCCATTCAGAAAAGCGTTAGAGATGTCTAGCTGTGTCAACTTCCATTTCATCTTTGCAGCAAGTGAAAGTAGTATCTTCACAGTAGCCATCTTCGCCACAGGAGAAAAGGTATCAATGAAATCTATACCTTCTTGTTGAGTATACCCTTTAGCAACGAGCCTAGATTTCTTCCTCTCCTCACTTCCATCGGCATTATACTTAATAGTATTCACCCATTTACATCCAAAAGCAGTCTTACCCGGAGGCAATTAAGTAATACTCCAAGTTTCCGTTCGTTTGAAAGTGTCAAGTTCCAAACCCATGGTATCACACCATACCTTATCCTTCTTTGCTTCAGCGTAACTTTGCGGAATAGGAACATTTGTAATGATATTAAGAAAAGCATAGAAAGGCTCAGATATTTTCGAATAAGAAATATATTTGGTGATAGGATAAGGAGTAGTTATACGAGGAGTAGTAATAGGAAGTTTAAGTGGAACAGGATCACTGTGAGTAGTATAGCAGTGATAATCCTGTAAATGAGAAGGAGGTCTGCGTTGACGAGTAGAAATCAACTCAGTAGGAAGTAAAGGCTCAGAGGATATCTCATCTAAAGGATGAGTATCAGAGGATGTTGACGCAGAATGCGTTTGTTCATCAAGAGAAGGCTGATTATAAAGATGAGGAAAGAAATGCTTTGAATCTTCTGGAATGGTAGAAGAAACAAAGGGAAAAATATCCTCATAGAAGATGACATGCCTCGAAATAGAAACTGATTTAGTCTCTATATCTAACAGCTTATACCCTTTGTAACCTGATGGATATCCTAGAAAAACACAAGCTTTGGCTCTGGGATCAAATTTGGTTCTATGACTAGTGGAAGTGGAGCTATAACATAGGCAACCAAAAGATCTAAGGGATTGATATTCTGGTTTCTGAGACATAAGCTTTTCATACGGAGACAGACCAGCTAAGACTTTAGACGGTAGCCTATTAATGAGAAAAACAGAGGTTAAAACACACTCCCCCCAGAACTCTAAGTCTAGACCAGATTGAAATAAAAGAGCTCTAGCAACGTTTAGAAGGTGCTGATGCTTTCTCTCAACCACAGAGTTCTGTTCAGGCGTTTCAGGACATGAATGAAATGCTTTAATACCTTTTTCTAAGTACAAGTCAGTAAATTTCAGTTCATGTGCATTATCAGATCTCACAGAACGAACTTTCATTTTGTATTGAGTTTCAACCAAATTAATAAAACCAGGGAACACATATGACACATCAGACTTATGTTTAAGCAAGTAAACCCAAGTAGCTCTACTATAATCATCAACAATGGTCAAGAAAAATCTAAATCCGTCAATAGTTGGTACTGAGAAGGGACCCCAAGTATCTATATGAACCAATTCAAATGATGTAGAGCACATGTTTTGACGTAAAGAAAATGGTAAATGTTTCTGCTTAGACAAATGACATATGTGACAAGGTGAATGAGTTTTATTAATTTTGCTTTTCGGTATGATTAATACATCAGAAAGTTCAACAATTTTATTCATGAAAGGATGTCCTAAACGTCTATGCCATAGAGTAGAGTCAACAACACCAGTACCACAAATAGTAGACATACCTTTAACAGAGAAAGCATTGTGGGAAACAGGAAAATTCAGAACATAAAGGTTTCCAATCTCTCTACCTTGACCAATCATCAACTCCTGAATAGGATCCTGAATAAAACAATCATAAGGAGTAAATCGAACTTCAGATTTCAAAGTTTTAGTCAGAACACTAACACTCAGCAAGTTGTATTTAAAATCAGGAATGAAAAGAACATTGTGGAGAGATAAAACATCAGTTAACTGAATAAAACCAGTCCCTTCTATCTGGACAATGTAACCATTAGGTAAGGTAACGAATGTTTGATCTAAGGGTTTATACTCTATAAACATAGACCTATCATGAGTAACATGGTGACTGGCTCCAGAATCTATAACCCAAGCTCTAAGAGACATATCAGTTTCCTTAGAGATAGATGAATTGAGGATGTCACCAATAAAAGTTTTGAAAGTAAGGAAAGTACCAGTAATTTGTGAAGTACTTGGTACCGAAGCAGATACGGAAGCAAAGTTCTTTGCGGATACAGGACAAGGAGGTAGGATCTTGATGCTGTGCAACTCTGGTCTTGGAGTAGAAAGCTGAAGTTGACCACTCAAGTAAGAAATCATGTTCTGAATCTGCTCTTTAGTCATGCCTTCATTAGCTTCCTTTTCTTCTTTCGATGAAGTATCAAGAACCGAAGAAGCTGCAAGATTTGTACTCCCAATCTGCTTTGCCACTTTGTTCCTCTGAGGATGACCCTGTGGATATCCATGAACTTTGTAACACTTCTCCACAGTATGACCAATACGATGACAATGAGAACATTTTGGTTTCTGGAATCCTCCATGTGCTAACAGAATCTGATTATTCTCTGTCTGAGGAGACTGCATCTGAAAAGCAGTAGGATTAGAATTCCCTTTTGTATGGTTACCAATCGTTCTCTGACTTTCATCTTGGTCTATCATATTGTAAATGTCATTCAGTGCAGGACGAGGCTTCATGTTCAATATCTGACCCCTGATATTGTTAAAGTTGTCTTTGAGTCCCATCAAGAATTGAATGATCTGGCTAGTTTCAGCTTCCTCAAGTAGCTCCTTAACTTGATCACAATCACATTTCTTCACTGAAGAGGACTTGGTATTAGCTAGTTGCTCCCATAACGTCTTCTTTTGAGTAAAGTATGTAGATAGATCCAATTGGCCTTGCTTGAGACTCATCACAGCCTGTTCAAGTTGATATTTCCTTGGAAGATTGTTCACCTTGAACCTTCGAAACAAATCATCCCACATCTGAGCAGCATCATCATAATACAAAATGCTATCATAGATCTCCTTGTTAACCACATTTAGCAACCAAGATTTCACCATACTGTTACATTTACTCCAGATCTTGAACAAACGATCATCAACAGAAGGTCTAGCTAAGGTTCCATCAACGAATCCTATTTTATTCTTCGCATCAAGACTAATCCTCATTGCTATGGACCAACTATTGTAATTAGTGCCATCTAGAGTATGAGAAACAATCGATAGACCTGGATGATCCGCAGAATGAAGGAAGAATGGACTATGAGTACTATCATACGATTCCGTTATCTTCGGAGCAGATCCAGAGTTATCGCGATGAGGAGTCCGGTGAATTTGGTCTTGATTGGAAAAGAAATCGGCTGGTTCGTCGGGGATCGGAGTCGCCGATTGATTGCGAGTAACAGAATCACCATCGTCTGGCGTAGAACTTCGAGCTTTCGTCTTACCACCTCTCTTCACCATTTTAATCGAATCGGAGCTCGTCAAGTAGAGATCTCAGCTAAGAGAAACAATTGATCGGTGAAGCTAGGGTGAGAAACGAAGAAGAAATCGATTTGTGGAAGAGATTCAGAGTCACGAGCAAAAGGATTGCTCTGATACCATATTAGTGTAACAGACTTTTGGTAAACTGTTTTCTTATTCCACATTGAGATCGAATTGATCTATATATACAATAGAGAACCGGTCTATAATGTGGACCAGAAATCAATAACCAACTATAACTAAACCAGACTAACTAAACCAATAACCAATTAATCTGATATGCTTAAGGTCCCAAATACTCTCGCTATCATTGTTTATGGCGTTCGCTAGGGTTTTTTTTCTAGGGTTGATTTTCTGAGGATAATTTTAATTAACAGGTTGCTTCCGAAGGAATCTCTTTCCATGATGACTGGCCTTACGCAATCTTTCTTTTGAGTTACTTCTACAGTTGACGATTCGTCAGTTAAATCCGTTAACATAGAGAGCTGTGTTCTTGGAAATCTTGTGGCTTACTGATTTAAAATTGAAAGTTAGGGTTTTGATTTGCATCGTTCTAAGTTCTATAGCGCTGCTTATCACCTTAGACTTGCTTTTGTGTCCACTGAGAAGATAAAATTAGAACTTGGTACAGGTTAGCTGTTGTAGAAATTCTCAGTTTATCGTTTGTGGCGAAAGGTAGATAGCTATGGTTTTGCAGTTCTTGACTGTTTTTTTTTTTTTTAATTGCTTTTGATTGTGATACTTGTGTGGCTAAATCTGGAATGATAAATATTATAGTGATAGCGCTCGTTTCCTCTGGAAGACAATACCTACAAGTGTGAAGGAAAGTAAGCCTGAAGTTGTTGCTGCTTTGAGGATTGGTCAGAAGCTCTGGCCACGTGACTATGCTGATGTGTATGAAGCTATTCGGGTTTATGATTGGAGTCAAGAAGCTAAAGATATGGTTGCTGCATTCTCAGGTAAATTTATCTGTGTTAATACCTTTTTAGCTAGTATGACATGGTACTTTGAACTAAGCTTTCTGAAAGATTACGTAGCTGTGTAGTGTACTATGTAAACATGTAAATTGATTGTTTACTCCTCTTATGCCATAGCTTTGATCTGCATACTGAGAATCTGAGATTGAATAGCTGTGTTGCTCTGTCAATCAAGTGAGACCTGAATTGAAGATTTGTGTTTACTGACTTTTTTCCAAATAGATGCCTCAACTTTGATCCAAATTGTGTGAAAATTGTATAATTTTTGCTCATCTTTTTTTTTTATAAGCAGCACAGCTCTTGCATTTACAAGACATCAATTGTTCAATGCCTGGCCTTTAAATCGCGTCTCATTGGTTAAACTTTATATTTCATAAGCACCTAATGCAATTACTGTGTTGTTTTTTTATGTTGAAGAGGTTTACACAAAAAGAATGTTTCAGCTTTTGTTGTCTGCCTACTCCACAATTACCATCGGCGAGTTGGCTTTTTTCCTTGGAATGACAGAAGATGATGCCACAACTTGTAAGCTTTCTTTCTTTCTGCAGTTTCCTTAATGCTTTCCATGATAAATTTGCCTGATCCTTCTGCCACATCAATTCGTAGATTTACACTCAATTCGCTCTAGTCTCATCAAGAAGTTATCCTTTGGGACAATACTGTCTCTCTTTTTGTGGGCAATCCCTTAACTTAATAGTTCTCTAGTGTCAATCATCTATGTTGGGGAATCAGAATTAAAGTATATATATATATTTGGATAACATTTCTTTCTTTATGTTGGATATACACAGAGGTTGTGGAGAAAGGGTGGACAGTGGATGCAGCATCTCAAATGGTGACTGTGAAGAAGCAAGCTGTTAAAAGAGAGAAAAAGGTGGATTCATCCAAGCTGCAACGCTTGACGGAGTATGTGTTCCACCTTGAACACTAAACTCCTCAATTTTATGTGTTTCAGATTAGCGAGAACTAAAAAGATCAAACGTTCAAACCAGAATTTGTTTCGAAAAAATGGCTATAGCTTCAGTTTTTCTTGGAGATTTGTTTCACAAGTTTCTAATCTACACAACAGAGAGACTTACATAGAATAGCACTTTATGACTTTTGTTTGCAGTGAGAGAGACTTTCTCTCGATGACACACATTGTGTGTACAGGTGTCCTTTGTTGGACGAAAATAACTGTAATTCCCTCTAAGTCCACTTGTTTCTCTTATGAAAACAATTACAAAAAGCTAACTAATTTTTCTGTGTTTAGTATATTGGTTAAGTAAATGTATATACATATTTATTTATTTCCAGAGACATGCTTTACAAATATGAAAAAATCACCATTGGAGATCCTTCGAGATCTTTGTTCAGTGCCATTGAAGCTGTGGCATTGATGACGGAGGTCTTCGCCATTGAAGCTCAACACAATGAAGCCACGCTGAAAAAATTCCAAACCTATTCACGGAGATAGACTCTTCCCATTTTACACCGAGTAACTTTATCACTTTGGATCTGAGGCCCTGTAACAGCTCCAGTGATCATTTTCGATCTTTACGTTGTTCACAAACTTCAAAACCACGAAACTCAAAAGATTCATGAAGAAGTCAAGCTCTCTTCCTCCTCCGCAAATTCAAGGACTCAAGTAGAGTTCAGATCTCTGATCTTCTCCTACCTCTGGACCCTTTATTTGTGGACAATGGAAACACATGGAAGAGAACCGTGGACATGATTGTTGTGGACAACGTATGTATGGACGAAGAGACATGGAAGGAGAATAGACATAATTATTGTGGTCAGATGAATGTGGATGATGAAGTAATGGACATAGGGGCAGTGGTCATTGAAGTTTGCTGGAAACTTTGGTTTGTGGTCAGTGGAAACGTGGATGGGTGAGTGGAAACATGCATAACCACCACCTCCACTATGCTATCCACCACTGCCACCACGATCTCCACCTTCCACTTTCATCTCCACCTCGGTGTCTACCACCGCTTCCATGGAACTGAGGGCCGTCGTTCATAACTACCTCCGACTTGTTCATAGCCACCACCGCCACTTCCACCAGGGTCTTCGTCGCCACCGCCTCCACAAGACTGAGTCACGGTCTCTCTCCTCCACTTTCATTTCCATTGCGGATTCGTTTGGAATTAGGAATTTGAAGAGACAAGATTTAAAAATTTTAGCCACAGTTTTTTTCTTCCGCCTCTGTTGTAATGGTGGATTTTACAAAATCAATTAGTAAAAGACGTGAAGACGAGGTTGTGGATCGAGATAAAAAAAAAGATAATCTGAATTCAAGAAACTCCAATCAAAATCTAAGGTATTTACAGTTTAATGAGTTTAGTTAATTTGAAGAAGAATTAGAAAAAAAAAATGTATATCTACAATTTACACATCCAGAACGAAAAACAAGAGACCAATTCAACTAAAAAACAATTAATATAATTTATATTTTTTTATAAAATAAAGATAAATTCTAAAGATAACCTGCAAACCAAAGACACTCTTCATTTAGTTAGAGGCTATGTTTGTAAATTACTAAAGCTAAAAGTGTGTTAAGAATGTTGGAGGAAATATCTTCTCGAGGTTACATATGATGACTGGTATGTTTGTCTTCAGATTACTAATACCCTTTGCAGTCACTGCTCTGGTGCATAAAGCACGGAAAAAACCACTTATCCCTACATAGATAAAAGACAAAATTTTCTTAAGTATTAGGTTTATATAAGCATAATTAATGTTATATATAAAAATCAATTAAAATGTAAAATATAAGATACCTGCAATTGCTTCATGAACATTACGTGGCAATAGTGCAGAAAAAAGCAAACGGAAGGAGGCGCTGCATAATTACATGACAATCATGACTCTTCAAGCCAGTAAACTTTCCTTTGCTTCTATCAACGCAGTTCCGCCAATTTGATGCATAACCGTCTGGAAATTTCACTCTATCTGTAATCCAATAAAAGAACTCTTCTTTTGTAGCACCATCCAGCCGGTAAATGGGAAAAAGGGCCGTACTGTTCTCATCAACGTGAAGTTCAGAACGATCACAGATATCGACTAAATCCAACCTTGACTTCAAATTATCCTTCGTTTTACCTTGGATGTTAAGGATTGTGTTCATCAGATTGTCGAAAAATTTCTTCTTGATATGCATGACATCTAAATTATACCGCAATAGATGATCCTTCCAATATGGCAGATCCCAGAAAATACTCTTTTTGTGCCAGTTATGTAGCTCTCCAACCGCATCGACTCGAATGTTTTCATGTCCACCTACGTCTGGTGTCCAAAATCCCTCAACTGCTTCCACAAATCTTCCCCACTAACTTTCTGTGGTGGACCATCAAAAACCTGCTTGTTCTTCGTAAACAAAGTCTTACTCCTACGAATTTGAAAGACAACAACAAACGGCTATTTTTCTCTCTCCTGAATAGCGATTTCTAGACGATTAATCCCGCCACCGTGACTGTCGTCTCCGCCTCTCACCGGCGTCTCATCAGGCGTCGGCTTCTCGCTCTGCTCTCTACCCCGTCTCCGTCTCCGTCCAAGGAGATGAAGATGAAAAAGAAGAAGCCGAAGAAGCCTTCGCCGTCAATTTCAGCGAAATCGCCGCCGTCCTCGTCTTCTTCTCCGTCCTCGCCTTCCTCTCCGGTCGATTCGCCTCAATCCAAGTTTGAGGTCGTGGATCCGTCCCTCCCTGTCAATGAGATAGTTTCTGATGCCCACCGTAGCTCTCCTGCTGAAGTGGTTGCTCAACTCCCTCCAGACAGCCCAGATCTAAACACCCGTCAAGATGATTTTCCTTCCGAGAAGACAGTGATCGTTGCTAAGTCAACAGATCCAGCTTCAGGCATGGAATCTACTCTGAATCTGCAGATAGAGACGAGCAATGTAGTCCTAACTACGTCCTCCTCTGATACCCTACCAGTCGTAACACAAGCCACTAAGGCCACAGTTGCTACTGGTTCAGATGTACAACTAGCTGATGCTGAAGCCAAGACCGTGTCTTTGAGCTCGCAACAAGCTGAACAAAGGGATCTCCCATTGGAACCAAATGTCCTTACGAAGACAGGGGATGTTGGAGATGCTACTCTTACCCCACCAACCGTGTCAGCTCAGCAAAACTCTGGGGTTAAAGAGCAAGAGACACCTAAAGACACTTGGTGTGATCGTGCCAAAGGGAAGCGTCTGTCACAGAAGGGTGAACCTTTCATACTCCCATCAGGCGAAGCGTGCATCAAAATTCCGAACTCAGTCATAGAAAAAAACCGCAAATCTTGGGAATCATTTGTGCTTGGCCAATTCTATTCTGACCCCCCAACTCAGGGAACGTTACACAACATAGTGAATGGTATTTGGAGCAAACATTATCGTGACATTGCTGTGTCTAAAATGGAAGGTTTCTCTTTCTTGTTTCGGATTCCTAACGCAGCTACCAGAAGCAGGGTGATTAAACAGAAACTCTGGCAAATTGAAGGCCAAACCATGTTTGTGGACAAGTGGGAGCCTGGCATAGTACCCTCTAAACCAGAGCTCACATCTGCTCCCATCTGGCTTGAGTTAAGGAAGGTCCCTCTTCAGTTCTTTAATGAAGACGGGCTGGAACGTATCGCGGGACTGGTAGGTCATCCTAAATTCCTCCACCCTGCGACTGCTAACAAGACAAATTTGGAGGTGGCTAAAGTATTCACTGTCATTGATCCAAGGAAACCTCTACCAGAAGCGGTTAATGTTCAGTTTGATTCGGGGGTTATCAGCAGAATCCTTGTGTCTAGCCCGTGGATGCCTCAGGTGTGTGGTTTCTGCAAAGAGATAGGTCACTCTACAAAGCGTTGTCCGACAGCACCTAAACCTTGCCCTCTATGCAATTCCACTGATCATACCAAGGATAAATGCCCTCAAGTACCTAAGCAGGAAACTCGCGGAAGGAGGACAAGGAGGAGCAAATCTAGAAATAAACAGAAGTGGAAAATGGTCGATAGCACAATGGTCGTTGCTCAGTCTGAGCTCCCTGCAAACTCTGAGAAAAATCCCATCGTTGGTCCTTCATTACCACTATAGTCATCATCAAGTTTGGTGGACATAACTCATCAATCTAAGCTGGGTAATGAACATGATAAAGCAATAGGAGAACCCAGTGGTACTGCCCCCTACCTCCAGTCTGTGATACCAAGGAAAGTCTCAGGGTCTTCTCACTCATCTAAATCGGATGTGCAACCGGATTCTTCTGATGTGGATTCTTCAGACTCGGAGCTTGAAGAGGGAGAGTTTAGTAAGCATGAGCCTGACTTCGAAGTGGTTCGCAATAGGAAGAGATTCTCAGGTCAGAAAGGAAAGCGGGGCAGGGGCCCCAAACTCAACTAATTTTTTATGTCGACGGACATTTTTTGTTGGAACTTACGCGGGTTAAATAAATTAAGTCACCGCAGCGGATTACGTAAATGGTTTAGAAAGCACTCTCCTCTTTTTGGTGCACTTCTTGAGACTCATGTGAAGCAACTCAAGATGAATAAATTTGTCTCAGAGCTCTCTCCGGGTTGGTCTACTACTGATAACTACGGTTTCTCCCCTCTGGGCAAAATTTGGATCCTGTGGCATCCATCTCTTTTGGTTACTGTTATTTCGAAATCTCTTCAAATGATTACTGTGGAGGTCTCTTGGCCCTCGGCTCCCTCCAAGATCATTATCTCTATTATTTACGCTTCGAATGATGTTGATGAGCACCTAACTCTGTGGTCTGAAATTGAGTCTCTCGTCTCTACTCAGGGGTTGGATAATAAACCTTGGATTCTTCTTGGTGACTTCAATCAGATCAGAGACCAGAAGGAGCACTCCAAGCCGACATCCTTAAACATGGATAAGCGAATAAGGGTTTTTAACCAGTGTTTACTTAATGCGTCTGCGGATGATCTAAATTTCAGAGGAAACACCTACACTTGGTGGAACAAGCGCAAGAATGCCCCGATAGCGAAGAAGTTAGATAGGGCTCTTGTTAATGACGACTGGTATTCAGTGTTTCCATCTTCAGTTGCTTTCTTTGGGAGTCCAGAATTCTCTGATCATGCTGTTATTTCAATCACTCTGGACCCCCTCAGTGCTACGGTTAAAAAACCTTTCAGGTTTTACAACTTCATTACCAAGAGCCCAGACTTCCTTGATATGATTCGTGTCTCATGGTTTTCAGTCAACGTAACGGGGTCAGCTATGTTCAGGGTATCCCGCAAGCTTAAGCTACTGAAGAAAAACATCAAAGATTTCTTTAAACTGAACTACTCGGAAATTGAAAAAAGGACAGCCCAGGCTCATGTTAAGCTAACTAATGCTCAGAACTTTATGCTTGCTGATCCATCTTCGACAAATGCAGTTTTGGAACTTCAGGCTATGAAGGAATGGGAAGAGTTATCCACTGCTGAATGTTCCTTCTTCTTTCAGAGATCGCGTATAAACTGGCTAGCATTCGGAGAT